CCCCCTCCACTGAGGCGCTTTCCGCTGGAGCTCTTCAGCCCGTGCAGAACTGCCTCGCCGACGGTGGTGGATGCCCCCTCTCATCGAGGAGCCCGCCAACGAAGGCGCCCGTTTGGCATGCGGATGGGCCTCTGCATTTTTCCTCTCCGCCCCCGAGCGTAGCCCTGGATGGGGGAGTTGAGGTCGCTTTACAAGTCCGAGACCAGGTACGCCCCTCGCGACTGGCGATTGATACGGACCTGGACGTGGATCCCGGTGACGGCGACGGCGTCCTCCAGGGAGACCGGGGTGAGGTGGCCCCGCATCGCGCTGTGGTGATAACTGCGCTTTCGGTAGGCCCGGCCCCCCTCCCGCGCCCTTTCCACCCCCATCTCCATCCCCATCTCCCTTTCTTTTTCCCTCCCCCCGCGCGAGAGCGAGGGCCGGGCGGGAAAGGGAAAGTAGCGGTCCTCCATGCGCTTGTTGATTTGGATGGTGGTGTTCCCGGTGTCGGGTTGGTATAACCCGAGCTGTGAAACCACCTCGGGCGAGGTCGGCATCGCGAAGGAGGCTTCGCCGCCGGGCGCGCGTTTCGCCTTGGATGAAGCCCGCGAGATCGACATCGGGGGGCCGAACGGGGCCTCCGCCGTCCGCCCCGACGGATAGGTGGTTCGTGGATCGAGAAGCGCCCGATGGCGACCACCGTTTCCGGTGTCGGCCCCAACCGACGCGGTGAAAATCGCATCCGGGAAGGGATTGGGGGCGTGGGGTTGGCAGGGGGGCCACGATCGCGACCCCCATTGGGGGTTGGAAAGCCTGGAAAGGGCGTCGGGATTCGCCGTCGCGGGAAGGTTGGCGCGGGGTTTCGACTTTCCACATCGCTGCTGCCGTGTCCAATGCGTCGCCCGCCGTCCCACACGGGGTGGAATCCTCGGGAGGGTTGGCGTCCCTTGCCCCCGGAGGAGTCGCCGTCGGGGGGAGTTTCGAAGAAAGGTCCGCTTCAGCGGCATCGGCGGATACCGATTGCGCATGGGAGCGGTAGGATATCGGCAAGAATTCCGTCCTCCCGTCCTGCGCCGGTACTTTATCGTCGCCTGCGCATTTCCGGTTTGTGATCGACTCCGCGTCATTCTTCTTCCGCTTTCGACTCGCGTGCCGCATGCGCTTCTGGCGATCTTTCACGAACTTGGGCATCACCCCGAGGAAAAACCGCTCGCGTTTTAGCAAAAAGCTCCAGATGCAATATCGACCCACCTGCAAAACCCCGGTGGGTGTCTCCGTGGTTCGTAGCCAACCCGAATCGTCGCGCTTCTCGAAGAAGCGGTTGTCCTTCACCCACTTACACCAGCTGAGCAGTAGAACATCGAGCCCCACACACAACACACGCGCCATCATCCGGGGGTCCACCGATAGCTCCTCCACCAGAGCCCAGGTCTCCTTTTCGGCGCGTTGGATGCCGCCCCCTTCATCTGGGGAGGGGCAGGGAATCCCTAGACGTTCGTATTGCTTTCGGAGCCACATATGTTCGTAGTGCTCCCAGGTCAAGGTCTGGCAGTTGTAGACGATGAGGTCCCCATCACGAAAGTCCCCCGGGGCGTAGCTCCGGACGTGTTTAAAATGCGCGCGTTCGTACTGTTGGCGTCGGCCCAAAACGCTGGCGGGGTCGGGCGGGGCCTGCAGAACCATTCGATGTAGGCGATGTCCCCCACTCGGGCCCATCGCCCGAGGGCTGGGATCGGATACGTTAAAAACGGGAATCAGCTCATGCGCCATATTCTCCGCCAGCACCGTCAAATCCATGTCCACCTCCCCCAGACTATCAAACGCCGCTGTCGTTTCAGACGTGGGCTTGGAGAGCCGGATGGGGCCGCAGTAGGTGAGGTTGGTGGTGTTGGTCAACTCCATGTACTCCCCAACAAACATCGGCACGGCGGCCAGGGATAAGTAATACAGCAGCGCGGCGAGGGCGTCCTGGCGAAATCGCACCAAGGCATAGCGCCCGCGCGTGGTCTCCGTGATGCCGGCGTTGTACAAGGCGATCCAGTGCGGTTTGGGCTCGGTATTGGGCGTGGGAAAGAGGGGGCTTTCGCGCGAAGCCTCGACCGGGCAAGATTCACTGCGGGATGCCAGTTCACACTTCGCCAGCTCCTCCGTCAGGACGTAGCCCGGGAGCTTTCCCGAGCTTGGCGGCGACAAGGCGAGATTCTCCGCCGCGTTCGGCTTGAAGAGAAGCTCCAGGACGTAGGGCGCGAAGGGCTCCAGACGGGAGGAGAAGTCCGGCACCACGCTAGGCCGAGAACACGGAGGGGAATTAGCATTTGGACCACACATTTCTTCCTTTTCCCCGTCCGGAAGCACCGGTTTCGATCGCGCCTCCGCTTCACGCCTGTGGGAACTGGGCAGGGTTGTGGGGTTGTTTACCGCCGGGGGTGGCGTGGTGTGGGTCGGACCCCTACCGCTAACAACACCGTCTTTATTATCAGTATTACCATCCTCATCCTCATCATCGTCCTTGTCCTCATTCGACGGGGCGTGATTATCGATTTTGGGGTCAGAAATAACCCGGGGGGAGGTATTTGTGGAGTCCTGACATCGGGACCCGAGCGCGAGGCCGCCGCGGTCCCTTGGCTGCTGCCCTTTTCCCTTGAACAACTCCATGTCGAGGAAGTTGAAGAAGTTATTCTCCGGGTCCAAACTCTCGATGTGATGGCGAAGGCGGAAGTCCTTGCGCTCCACCTCGGCGACGGCGGCGCGCGCGAGGAAGTGGACCTCCCGCACCAGCTGCAAATTGGGGATATTCGACATCGGAAAGAACCACCACATCGGCCGCACGAGCGATTCCGACAGCCCGGCCCGCAAGCAAACCGCGCGGTAGGTACACAGCGAGGCCAGGGCGATATGGTTGAGCAGCTTCTCCCCGATCGCGCCCTCGATAAAGCGGCATAACCGCATCACCGGCGGGGGGGTGGGGAGGGCCTCGCGGCGGGCGTCGTCGTCGTCGTCGCGGGCGCCGCGCAGCCAGGCCGTTCCGCGGGATCGCGCGGGGAGGGGGCCGTGCATTCCCACCACCCGCACCGGCGTAATCGGGAGGATAAACTCGCCGGCGGGGGGGGATTCCCCCCGGGGGGGGGAGGGGGCGGGAGGCGAAGTAGTACAGCTCGCCGTCCTCCTCCACGAGGTGCACGCGGCCGTCGCGGTAGGCCGCGACGGCCTCGAAGCGGAAGCGCCGCCGGC